CTGCTCCTCAGCCATTGCATCGAAATGCAGCGTGTATGTGGCACGCAGTTGCCGCATCGGCCGCTGTAACGCCGGCTCCTGTGGCAGCTGGGGATGGCCCGGAAAGTGGTGAAGCGGTATCTCGTAGGGCCATAGCTCCCAATATCGTCTCGGATTCCAGCTGAACATTTTCTATTTCAACTGATCGAATTGGAATTTTGACAAGATAATATATGCCATTTCGACGCGTAGCTCTAGCACTGATCCCTGGCGCAATGGTAAAAGGAAGAGAATTGAAAATATGTAGATATTTGATATGATTTTATATTTCGATAAATTTGTGACTGACTTGCGAATACCCTAAATCAGATGTCTAGCGTGATTTATAAACATTTGGAAACTCTATATTTGCCTTTCGTCTACGGCTTGGGTCTTAATATTATTATTATTTATAATAATTATTATTATTTATAATTATTATTATTATAATTATTTTTCCTGTTGCCATTTTATTTACTTGATATTCTCTGATATTTATTTATAAGTTTTATTAATATAATAGTTTTTTATTGTTTATTTGTTAAATGTAAAAAGTTTTTATGTTTAATTTCTATTATTTACATATTATGTTTGTGTTTATTGATTAATAATTCTTATTACATAATTTTTTGTAGCTAAAAAAAAAACATTATTTACTTATTTAAAAAATATGTTATAATAATTTTTAATAGCATTAAATACTTATTATTTATGAATTTTTAGTTGTATATATTATTTTTATTAATTATATATTAAAATTTTGAAAATTTCAGAACAAATTATTAATATAAATAATAAATAAATAAAAAATAATAAAAAATATTTGAGAATTATATTTCATATCTCATCAGTATTTAGAGTATGACTATTAATTTTTATGCAAACCAACATTTTGTCCTGAGAGCCTGTTTATAAAGCTGTTTATCCATATCAATACAATCAGATCTTTTCCACTACTTCAATCTATGTATCATTAATTAAAGTGCATCTATCCTCATACCTGTTTTGGACCAAAGACATATTAGGTAACTAGCTAATTAACTAGACATTTAACAGCATGTTAAATAATGAATGAGTAATACAGCATTCGAGCATCTGTCTGTAATTTTGTAAGAGGCCCTATCAGATTTACTATCTCAATTCCCGTATCTGTTGGCCAACTGTTTCGGTTGTAACCCTTTTCTCCTGTCTCTCGCCTCGTTTGAGTGTCATGAAAAAGGCGCTACTGTTGGCAGTGGAAAATGCACTGAAGCATGCACAAATCGACAACAACAACAACAACAGCAACAAAGGCAGCTAGGAAAATGCTAAGTAGCAGCGATCAAAGCTAACAAAACAGCCACAAAAGGATGCAGCGATAATAAGGACAACGAATGCTATACCTCCCCTACCATCCTTACCTTACCCAGCCGCACCCTTCTTACACCCCGTTCTCTCTACTCAGAACATTGTTTGTTGTTATTTGGCTGATCGCTTGAATGCCACGCAATGGATATGAGAATAATGGAAAGAAATGGGAAGAAGTCTATCTCTGAGACGCGAGCACCGCCGCATCTGCGGCCTCCATCACCTATCACGATCACTTTCAGCAACGGCGGTCGCGGCATTGTCTTCCTTTGCAACAGCAAAAACGAAAAGAAAAAAAAAAATGACTCAATCAGTTGGCTGGCGCTTATCCTTGATCCTGCTAAGCACATGCAAATGCTTTTCCATTTCCACGCCACGGCTCACAGCCTCAAAGACAGCCAGAAGCAGCTGCAGTTGATAAGATATTTTCCTGCTTCATTATTATGGCTATGGCTCTATTGCCTAAGAAACCCTAAGAACTTCAGCTTTTGTTAGGCTTGAGGAGTTTTCAATCAAATCGTTAACTTTACATATTTCATTAGTTTTCCAATGGCTTGCCTAAATGTGATACATAATACTTAAAGCATATAATTATATTAGAAGCACTATTTACTCGTAAAAGTTTAGTTTATTATTAGTTTATTGGCATAGTAGGGTATAGAAAAATATATTTATTAATATTAATTTAAGTTTAAGTAGTATTAAGTCTCCAGAAAAAGCTAAAAAAAAAAAAAAAAATGTATACTTTATACATACGTAATTACAATTATTTTTGATAGTTTAATTTTGTTGTATGTTAACTTATATTAATTTGTTAATTTATTGTAATTAAATTGGTTTTAAAATTCAATCTATTAAGTTTTCTTAAATTTATTAGTTTTTTTTTTTTTTGTTACTCTTAATATTAGTATTTTTGTTGTGAATTTAATAAATTTATTGTTTGTAATACTTATTTTTCTTGATTAGATTTTTATTAAATTCATATTATTATTAGAATTTTAAATATTTTTAAAATATTTTCATTATTATTTCATTAACATTAAAGCTATATTATTTTAAATATATTGCTAATTTTAATAAAATATTGATATCATACTGACAATATTTGTTTGCATTAATATTAAATTTTAGGCTTGATTTCTAAAAAAAAAAAACATGCTTATAAATAAATAAGAAATATATATATAAGCCATTGTTTATCACAATTAACCTTTTGATTAGCATGCAAAAATATTCTACAGACCTATATTTAAAAATTTGCATTATAAGTATTCACAAATCTTCATTTGATGCTGATCAGTTTTATTATTACATTACATTATCGGACATAAAAAATTACACTCTAGTTGAGTTCATTGTACGACAAGAATTCTTGAATTGACAAAAAGTTGGGAAAAGTGAAAGCGCTTCGGCAAGTGCTCGACATGCAAACGAATGCAGTGGAGCAGGCAGATAGAGACGGAGAGAGAAAGAGAGAGGGGGGAGGGGTGTAGAGGAAGAGTTGTTCACTGTCCGGCCACATGACACACATGCAACAAACTAATGTGGAAAGGGCAAAAGGGAAAAGAGCATTGCGATTGGAGCATAGTAGATTTTGCATGCGAGGCATGCGAGGGCCGACAACAATAATAACAACAACAACAACAACAACAACATAAAACGCTTCGGGCCGCAAAAAGCACAGTCCAAAATGCGCACAGAAGCGTAACGAACGAGACACAGCCAAACACACACACACGCACACATACATACATAAAAGACAACACAGATGTAGACACAGATGAGCGGAGCCGTCAGCTTCAGGCGTGGGTCAGTGGAGAAGGCAAAATAGCTTGGGCACAGGTTCATATATATATATATATATATATATATATACATACATATATAAATATGTATATGTATATATATGTAGTCTCTATGCGCTGTCTGTACAATTTATAATATTCTATTAGTTCCACGACCCGAACTCGAGCTCGAGCTCGAGCTCGAGCTGGAGACCGAGCCGAGGCAGCGCAGTTAGCGCAGATAATACATCCGTTTCCGGTTAAGCCCATATTTTTGTGTCATTTAGTAAGTAGAGAGTAAAGGGACAGAGCGGGCAGCGCAGAGCGGGAGGGAGGTAGGTGGGTCGTGCAACAGCGAGTGCGACTGAAACAGACAGCTACAGATGCTGATGGCTAGACAGCCCACAATGCCAGTGACATGCAGCTGGCAGTCGGGTTAATGCTAACGGGAATGGGCATGGGCGTGCATGGGGTGATCAAGAGGGAGAGTGAGAGACTTGAGTTAGCTAGGGTTTGGGCTTCTGTTTGGGTTTGGGGTCTGGGGTTTGGGCACGGGCCTGGCATCAAGTGATGCGACAAGTGCAGTCGACGCTGCAACGTTGCTGAAGCGGAATCGTCCACGTTTCCGCATATTTCTCATTTCCACAATTAAACATTTGCGAGTTTAACGTCATGGAAAACTGCTGCGAGCGGCGAGCTGCGAGCCACCCCTTAGCCAGCTTAGAGTGGGCAATCCAGTCCAGGCGGGGGGCTTGTTTCTTAGATAAATCAAAGCTGCAATTAATAATGCAGCTACGCTTGGTCCATGGCAGCAGCAGCAGCAGCAGCAGCAGCCGCCCCATGAACACGGGAAGCTCAAATGGAGCTTGGCGCTTGAAATGCCATGTAATTATGTATGTTGTCTCCCTCGCTCCCCTCTTCACAGACACTTCTCAAGCAGCACCTGCTGGCTCCACCCTTGACAGCGGAAGTTGCGCTGTGCATTGTGCTCCACGCCCCCCGCCCTTCGCCGGCTGTCTGATTGTGGGCAATGCCAAAAATTTGCTTATCTGGCTGCATTTTAACACTCAGCCATTAATGAGCTATGCAGGTGCACAGATGTTCTCTTCAGCTGCACAGGTGAGCCTTGCAATGAATCAGCAAGTCTGCGCCAACAGCTGTGCAAATATTCAAATAGCTCATAAATAGCTTTTTGCTGTTGTTGTTTCACACTCATCAATAAAACACAATGTAAACAATTCGTGAAATTTCATAAACGTTTTTTTATTATTATCTACATACATATATACATAATATACTTATACATAAACTAAATACCTTTCGTTCAGCTTGACTAAATTGGCAATCAGTTTCAATTTTGTTTTGAATTAAACCACAAATTAACATAATAATTATTATATTTGCCCAATATTATTTGTTTTTTTTTTTTCTGCCCAATTTCTGTGCACAAATTTTGACAGAATTAAATAATTACTTTTTAGGTTATTTACACACTTAGCTTAAATTCTTCATTTAAATAATTGCATAATTTTGTTAATTTATTGATTAGAGTGAATTAGCAAATATGTCGGCATTTGTGCTTATCTCATGTGTACCAAAAAAAAAAAACGAAAAAACAAAAAGACAAAAAAAGTTAAGTTATCTGTGGAATTTTAGAAGCCGCGATAGTAAATAGAACTGTATATGATATAACAGTAAATATTTAAATTTATTCAGATCATGTTTGTATCCAATTTTTTTATCTTTTTTTTTTTTTTTTTTTTTTATTATTATTAAGTAATAGTAGTTATTTTTTTTTTTTTTTAATTAATATTATATGGTATTAATTTTGTATTATTGATTTTTCGACAGACTCTGCAAACACCCGAACCGGTTGGCGGGTGACCTAGCAAATGAAAACTGTCCTCGCACGCTCCAGCAGATGACGATTGAAGACCCCACCAAGTAAACCCTCCTTCGGGGCTTCATTTTGGTTGACTTTTTTAATGCCATGTATTATATACTTGTATCCAAACTTAATCAATGTCCAAATGAACAGAACTTCAATAAACTTCCACACAAAAAATAAAAAAAATAAATGTTTTTTTGTTAAGGAGTAAAATAAAATGGGTATACATTAACTTCATTGAGGTCTGCTCATCTAATCATTTCTTGTATGGATATTTGTTATATGATGCCCTGTAAGTTCCTATTTGCTTTTAAATGTAAATAAAACTAATCGAAGCTTTAAAGTTCAGCTCACATAGAAATATATAGAATTGAATATATGTATGTAAATATGAATACGTATTCATATACTATTAATATACATGCATATTAATCCAAAACTGTGAGTTAATGAACTAAAATGCAAATTTCAACAACAATTGAAAGGGAAGTTCATATCAAACTTACAGAACGACATACAACAACAACAAAAACAAATACAAGAACAATTGTTCAGCATAGAATTTATGCCACTAATAAAAATGTAAAAAAAAAATAAATAAATAAAAATAAATTAGCGAAAATCCGGAAATTGTAACAAATTAACATTGGCGCGAATGTAATTAGTAACGCTATACTGAATGGCTGTATTGCATACCCTAGGCCATTAGCAATTGGCAGCGGGTATATGGAATGATATACTAATTATACATATAATTTCAGCCTAATAATCTCATACTCAGACAAAGGACTCTTGAATTACTTGTGTATTATTGATGTATCGATCAGAGCTGTCCTAAAAGTTCTAGTAAATTAGCATGCAAGAAAGATTCAGGAAAACCTATATTCAAATTTCATTGCATACCCCTAAGGAGTGGCTGTCCGCTGATCCGCTAACTTCCCAAATTTTGGTCAAAATTTCTGTTAAACACCAGGCGAACAGAAGTGTCTAGCAGGCTGCAAAATAAGTCAATATCATTGCAATGTTAACTGACAGAGTGGATCGTAAGCTCGCTGTTAAAAACTGCTCAATGTTATTTGAGTGATGTTAAGTTGCCTGGAAAGTGACTACTGTTATTCCATTGCTCTTTTTATGCTCAGCTAGAAGAGAGTTCTTAGTCTATTACAAAGAGAGAGTTCTTAGTCTAATACAAAGCAAAATGCTCTCCCTTAAGTTATGCTGCACTGTAATAGGTAACTCTGCTGCATTGCTCTACTGGGTATGCGAACAATATAAAAATATAAAAAAATAGTTTATGAAATAATTTTCAAAATAAAATAAGCAACAACAAAATAAATAAATAGAAAAGAAACAGGCTTTAAAAATGTAAACAACAAAATAAACAAATAAATAATATTTATATAAATGTAAAAATCTATAATTTATAAATTAATATATGTATGTAAGATTTTTAAATATGTCTAATTTTACGCTAGCTCCATTTTATATGAAACATTGTCAATTTAAATTAAAAATAAATTATGATTTTATATTGGTAACAATATTTATTGAATATATGTATTATATAGATATGTATTATATAGATATTTACAATGAAATCTGATTGCTTAATGCAATCAAACATCAGAATCTTTTAAAGATATTAATATCATATTTAAATGCAAGGCAATTTCTCATATACAAATGTAGATGCATTGATTAACCAGCCCATTAAAGGTTTAAGCTGTATAAATATGTGTATGTATATGTTTATAGACTTGAACTAATATGGCCTTTCGCTTTCTCAGCTATTCGGCCCAGACAAACTCTGACCTACTGAGTTCGAAACACGCCCACGCCCACACAGGTTGGTTGGGCCACAACAAAAGTTGGCCTAGACGAATGGCTGGCAGCACTTTGTCAATGCTCGAGGTGAATATTTTGGTGCCTTTTTCTTCTATTTTTTAGTGGGTGTTTGAATTTATTAGCGGTTATGGCGATTTTTGCACTCGAAGCTCGAAAATGTGACGACGAATGCGGTGACTGGCGAGTCGAAGTGACATGCTTTGAATATTTGATTGATTTTCGGGTTATTAATATTTATGTATTTCGATTTTTGACTTAGCTCGGCGACATACACATACTTAGATATTGAATATATATACATATACGATTTATTTATTTATTTTTTTTTATTTGCAAAATGTTGAAATAAACACGTTGTATTGCCGCTGTTAATGGCCGCATAAATTGTTGTCAAAAGATTATTATTATTATTATTATTTCTTTTCTGCTTCTTCTGCTTTTCGGCTGTTTGTTTATTCATCATAACCCGCTGCAGCAAGTCTGGCAGCAGCAGCGGCGAAGGCGTCAACAGTCGCACGTGCCACAAGACCCAAAAACAATTTTTGGGCGTCGTCGTCTAATGCGTGCATTAGTCGACCAAATTATCATTAAAGCCCGAAAAAAAGAAAGGAAAATCAAACTACAAATCGTTTATAGATCGAGGCGAGGAAAGGTTAAAAGCCTCCCATTGCCATTGCTGTTGTTTTCGTATACCCTACACAAGCTTTGCCAGCGGCTAGCTTGGACTACTCAGATGTTTCAGCTTGCCTGATATAGCAATTCAATTTAATGCATTATATACCAATTTAATGCACCTTTATGATAAACTATTTTACTCGACTTCACTTCACAGGGTATCTACTTGTTGAGTATTTTGACTTTATACAACTTGACTTTGCTGTTATTGCTGCTGCTGTTTTTCGCTGGCATATTGCCATCATAAATATGCTCAAGGAAGCCAGCGACGTCAATATCCTTTAGCTGTGCACATGTCGGTGCTGTAAGTATATAAACACATACATATAAATACAAAATTATATATATATATATAAATATCTGAATTGCAGTCTGAGGGTGAACACAAATTGTTTGCTTTTAGTGCCTCCCTCACACGTGACTTCATAAATTGCTTGGGCAGCCTCATTAAATGCTTAAAATTTTGTTATGATTCAACTCCATATGAGTAGACACACACACATACATTATTTTGCCATTAATGTAATAAGAATTAAATATATATACGTATGCATATAAATTCTACAGTTGAAAAGCGAATCATATTATTGGCGAAAGCATTATGAAAAATAATACATAAATATTTAATAACAACTTAGAATGATTTAAGTTTCAACAAGATGTCAACTCTAATTAGCTACTACTACTAATGCTACTACTAAACTACCCAACTAATTTTTCACTTATTTCCAAAGTCTCTCATGTCTGAAGTCTCATTTAAACTTTAAAATTAATTTTTATAAATATAAATGTTTGCTTTTAAATACAAGGAAACAAAAAAATTATAGTGACAAACAAATGCAATTATGTTTAAATAAATAAAATGTAAAATATACATACATAAAAAAATATATTTATATATAGTATATTTCATATAGTAGTATATGGTGAAATAATAAAAAATAAAAAATAAATAATAAAATAAAAATGTACAATGTATAATACATAAATAATTTATATATAATATATATTTATTTTTAGTAATATAAGTATAAATTACTGGAATAAATAAAAATATATATGTGTAAAGTCTAGAATATATAATAAATAAATAATATATATAATATATATGAAATAGTGAAATAAATAAAAATATAGATAAAATCTAGAATATTTAATAAATACTTAATATATTAATAATTTATGTATATATTATTTATTTTTATGTATTAGCTAGTCATACATGCACACCATTTCCGATCCTCACTTAAAATGTGTGAACAATGAGTGAGTCAGCGCCCACTGAAAGTCAATTTATGTGCAGAGTCGGCGCTGACTGTTTGCCCGGTTGCCATGGTTCATTAGAACCTATTAAAGCAAGCCAAAGCAAATAAAATAACCAGCAAATGTAGCCGGACGAAGCTGAAGCCCAGTTCCAGCTACTCATAAAAATTTCGCAGCTCATAAGCGCCAAAAAGGTAGAGCCAAAGCCACACAGTCGCATCCACATCCACATCGAAATCCAAAAAGCGAAACCAAGCCGAAGAACCAGGTGAACGAAGCGTACAAAATCATTTCCTATTAAAGCGAACGGACATGGCAGCGCGACATGGTGGGAGATGTTGTTTGTTCTCTGACTCTGACTCTGGCTCTAGCTCTGAGTCCGAGTCGGAGCTGGAGCTGGAGCTGCAGTTGGAGTTGGAGTTGGAGTTGAGCTCAAAATGCGTGACTGCGACTAATGACCCGCACGTGTTCATGTTACGAGAGATTGGGAAGCGACAGGGAGTGGGAGGAGCTGAGCGGGTGAGCGGATGACCGGGTGAGGGTGCGACGACGACTATGTAGCAAGAATTGATTACGATCTGCTGGACGCATATTAATTGTGCCACGTTTTTGCCTGTTGCTATGAAAAGGATACGCAAAGGATGCGACTTGAGACTTCTTTTTTTTTTTTTTTTTTTGTGAGCCGCAACTGCGACTGCGCATATGATTAACAACTTAATGGTTTCTGAATTCTGACTGAAGCCGAGATTTCGCCGTCTCCTTGGCGTGCTGGCGTGCGTGTGGCTGCAGGTAAACAGCGCATTTGTCTGCCACTCGATCGCCACTGCCATTGCCATGGCTCAGGTGGGTCTCGCGCTCTGAGAACGCACCAAAAATTTGTCACATAGTCGACAGGCCGACGCTATCTATGGATTTTATATGTATATATTTATATATAAATATTGCTAGAGTCGTGTTTTTGATCTTATCCGTTCGGCTGGTGTGCGACCACGTAGCTGCTGGGCTGGACTTTTGGCCCACACAAATGCCGCGGCGCACAAAAATGTTAATTAGCACTAATTAAATAATTTATTACACACTATTGGAATTGTTGAATATGTAGTTGTTGCTTCTCCCTGTTGCTGTTGACAGCGCCATGCATAAATCATAAATTATTTCTGCAGCTGACTCAGCTTATTAGTTTTGGCTAAATTTTGTTGAGTTCGCCTGCAGCAACTGGTGGTTGGCTTTAAGCAAAAAATTAACTTGTTATGGCATTAAGTTGAAGCTTGTATTAAATACAATATTAAATACTACATACGAAGAGATATATTTATGAATATTTATTGGCATAATTTTTAATATAAGAAATTAATTTTAACTGAGCAACGATAATATATTTAATATTTTAAATATTTTAATGCTTCGTTTTTAGTGCTGTTAAAACTT